GGGTTGTCGCCCGCGAACATTCATCAGTCCATGCTAATTTAACGTTGGGGCACGCCATAGGACCCCTGATAATCCCCTTGTAGGCTAGGTCCGGTGCCGGTCAATTTGTTGGAGATTTGGGCCTTAAACCTAGGTCCTGGCCGGACAAAAGTCGATGGTCGAGCACCCCAAAGCTAGGTCCTGTCCGGACAGAGAACTTGGGGTCAGTCAAAAAAGTTTCATGGCCAAAGAATATCGGCAACACTAATTCCACCACAGATACACCACAAATACCCGGATTTGTCGAGAATGCCACCAACATCGACGTGTCAAGAAATTTTGAACGTTTCTGGGTCTGTGGGAGCCAGAATCACCCCTTTTGGGAGATTCTTTCATCAGTGCGCTCATCTGTATAAAGGATGGCAGCTCACTCGGGAAACCCCAGTTTACTCACTGACTACTCCAATGTTCAACTCGAAGTCTCTTCTCTCCCTCACCCTCGTGGCTGTCTTCTCGGTCGCTTCGGCCACCCCAGTCCAAAAGCCGGGCGCTGTACGTTGCAAATTCCGCTTGAATTTTGCCGTTCTAACCCAATGGTGTTCAGGACGCGAGCGTCACCGTGGACCTCTGCACCGGGGCGGTCAGTCCCCCGTCCGGATGCGTCAACGTCCCCGTCGTATCCGACAGTTGCGTCAACTTGACCGGCGGGCTCACCTTCTTGAACAAGGAGATCTCCAGCGCGCAAGTGCCTGGTGGATTCATCTGCACGTTCTTCCAGTGAGTGTCACCGGCAAATATATTCAGCAACGGGGGAACTGATAGAGGCATGGCGTGCAGGGACTTCGGTTGCATCTCTACCGGCACCGGGAACAACCCCACCGACAGCGAGGTCGTGTTGCAGCAGGGGGTGTGGAACTTTTTCACCGTCCCCGGACACGCGGGCACAATCAACTTCAACGACTTGACGAGCTCGTTCAGCTGCTCGCCTCTCTAGTTACTCTCGTGTTTTGTATTTCGAGGCTTGGGAATAAGGCGGCCGTTCGCACCATGATGTCTTCAAATTCTGTTCATATAAAAGCGTGTTTGATGCAGTTCATTGGCAGCTAATTTGAATGCACTGGAACAGCACAATCCTTGCCGTTCGACAAGCCGCCGCCGATATTCGATGCTTATGAGAGTAGGGATCCTGTCACCAACCATCAGAGCACCCAGACGTAGAGGGTACAGTGCTGATTATTGGTGCCGAGCCTTTGAGCGAAATCATGCTGCCAGACGGGCGAAGAAGTTTTTTTCTTTTTCAAAATCACAGATGTGGGCCAGGCAAAATCAATCGCCTCTACTAGTCGTACCGCAAATGAACGGCGATCGAACGCTGCCTCAGTTGGTTTGTCCGAAGTGAGTCGACCACAAGCAAATGGAGGACGTTGCATAGGGTGGATGGTTTCTGATGGAATGGAGTTCATCTCAACAATGCGGTTGGAAAATTTCAGCATCCAAGCTCCGGAGGTGGGGCAAAATCGGGGGTGTAGACCGACAGGTTCATGTATGGATCGGCTGGGTAGTTATCTGCCAGTGGCTGTGAAGTTATCTGCCCCCTTCGCCATTCCACTTCGTTCTCGGTCTCCTTAAATCGCGCAAATAATCAGGAGTGTACAATAAAGAAATTGTAGCTCATTCGGGCACCAGGATTTGCACCCAGACTGCTCCCTTACATCCTTATTCTACCATCAGCTTAAGAAGTGGGAGCGTGTACCGTACACCACACCCGACTACTTACCTCTCCCTCTGTGTCCTATATAAACCCACGGACTCCCTCCGATGCACGTGCCAAACAAAAAGCGGGATGAACGACGAGTTCGGGCGCCAAGAATAGAACCCGGGTCCCTCCCTTTCAACTTATTTCGCGCAAGGAGAAGGGAGTGTGCACCATACACCATATTTGAATACCTTCCTCCCTTCCGTCCCTGGCTAAACCCTCCATTATTTCGACGCCCGTGCAACAAGGATTGAGCAGCATCATCTAATTCGGGCGCCAGGATCCAACCTAGGCTTCTCCCTCAATTCTAGATGCCATTCTTGTGAGAAGAGGGAGCGTGCGCCGAAAACCACGCCCGAATACATACCTTTCTTTTGAGATTGGATCTTCCTTCACCAGAAAAAAAGGTATATATGAATGCCCTAGTTCGAGCGCCAGGAATCGAACCCGGGATCCCCTGAAGTTTCCATTTATACATGCGTAAGGAGGAGCAGCGTGCACCGTAAACCACGCCCGAATGCCTACCTCTCTTTCGAGGCTGAATATCCATCCATTTCATTTAATTCCTTCACCAGTAACAGCGTGGGGAACCGACGAGGTCGGGAGCCAGGAATCGAACCTGGGCTTCTTCCCTAAGATTTCCTTTCCGCATTCGTAAGGAGGAGGAGCGCGCGCCGGACACCACGCCCGAATACTTAGGCTCCGCGTGAGCTCGAGTATCCTAGCAATTTACGACGATGAGTTAAATCGAATCAAAAATTGGCAGAATAACCCCTCATTCGGGTGCCAGGAGTCGAACCCAGGTTTCTCTCTTGATACACCCCTTTTACATTCATCAAAGGAGAGAGAGCGTTCACCATACACTACACCCGAGTCCAACCTCCCTCTCCTCCCTCTATGAACCTACCGAGTTCTTTGCATGCCCGAGCAAAAAAAAGCTCGATGACACAGCAAGTTCGGGCACCAGGAGTCGAACCTGGACTTCTTCCTTACAACTATCAGGACCTACTATAGCTTTAAGCAGTGGGAGCGTGCACCGTACACCACAACCGATCCCCTACTCTCTTCCGAGGCTGAATATCCTACCGATTTTTACGATCCTCGCACAAAACAAAAGAGGAAAGTAGAACATACTATTCGGGCGCCAGGAATCGAACCCAATCCTCCCCATAATCCTTTCCCTCATCGCTTCACGGAGGAACGAGCCGCATACACTACGCCCGAGTACCGTCTCCCTCTCCTCCCTGGACGAACTCACCGATTTCCCTGCACCATCCCTTTAGCAAAAAAAAAAAAGGACGACAGACCGTGGCAATTCGGGCGCCAGGAATCAAACCGGGGCTCCTCCCTTTCAACCTGGCTGCAGCATACACCACGCCCGAATACCCTCCTCTCTCCGGGGCTGAATCTCTCACTGATTTCCTTCCATGCGTTGCAAAATATTAGGTTTCCAGCTAATTCGGGCACCAGGAGTCGAACCCGGTCCTCTCCTTTGCATCATTTCCACTTGGAAATCCCCAAGGAAAGGGAGCGTGCGCCATACACCACACCCGAGCCCCCTGCTCTTTTCCCAGGCTGAATAACCCTTCGATTATTTCAATGAGTTCTGGAAAAATGGATGAAAGCCGAGTTAATGGGATGCCAGGAATTGAATCTGGAGCTCTCCTTAGCATCCTCTGAATCCGTGCAAAACGATTTGAGCAACAGCTCAGTCGGGTGCCAGGAATCGACCCAGATCCCCCCTTGCATTTTTCGTGGCGACATCAGTGTTCAAGGAGAGGGGAGCGTACACCGTACACCACGCCCGAGTCCCCTGCTCTATTTCAAGACGGAATAACCCCTCGATGCTTCGATGCCGGTGGAAAACGGATTGAGCAATAGCTGAGTCGGGTGCCAGAAATCGAACCCGGGCTTCTCCTTTCCAATTGCATGGTCTCTGAGAACGGGGAGGGAGGGTGCGCCGTACATCACGCCCGAATATCTCCCTCCCGAGGGTAAATATCCCACCGATTTCTTTGGACGCCCGTGCAACAAAGAGAGGAGGCCACGACAAAAACTCGGTTGAAACTGATTCGGGCGCCGGGAGTCAAACCCGGGCCTCTCCCCTTGATTCTAGCTGCCAATTTATAAGAAGGAGGGAGCGTGCGGCGCACACCACGCCCGAGTCCTCAACCTAGTTTGAACCCCAATATTCCCTCAATCCTTTCACCAAAAAGAGCCGCAGACAACTAATTCCGCGCCAGGAATCGAACCTAGACTGCTCCCTTACATCTATACACAGCTGCTAGGAAGAGGGAGCGTGCACCGTATGTACACCACGTCCAATTCCTTGCTTCATTTCCTTGATGAACCCACCGATTTTTTTACGATGCCCGTGCAAAAGAAGAAAGTTGAAACCTATAATTCGAGCGCCAGGAACCGAACCTGGGCATCTCCCTTAGAAGTCATAACCTGTAATTACAAGGAAGGGCCCGCACCATACACCACACCCGAGTCCTCAGCCAAGTTTCGAGCCTCAATATCCGACCAATTGGCGTCCATGGCTTGGATAAAGAAACGGACGAATATCTCAATCGGGCACCAGGAATCGAACCCGGGCTTCTCCCCTGATACATCCTTTATACATTCATTAAGGAGAGGGAGCGCGCACCGTACACCACGCCCGAGTACTTACCTCTCTTGGGCGGCGCAATATCCTATCGATTCGCGTCGGTGAGTTGAATTAAAAATTGACAGAATAACCTCGCATTCGGGTGCCAGGAATCGAATCGATCCTCTCCCTTGCATATGGATCCATTCCGTAGAAAGGAGAGGGAGCGTGCGCCGTACACCACGCCCGATTCCTTACTCCCTCTCCTCCTTTGATAAGGCCTCGATTTGCAGTAATGAGTTGAAAAAAAAAGCGTTAGAGGACGCAGTTCGGGCGCCAGGAATCGAACCTGGGCCTCTCCCTTCAATAGTGCCACACAAGCTTGAGGAGCGGGAGCGTGCACCATGCACTACACCCGAGTCTCCTGATCCCTCCCGAGGCTGAGTAACCCTTCGATTATCTTGATGTCGGGCAAATTCGGGGGTAAAAAAGGCAGAAGTTCGGGCGCCAGGAGTCGAACCCGGTCCTCTCCCTTACCTCTTTTCTGTTCAACGGTCAAGGAGGAGGGAGCGTGCACCATACACTACGCCCAAGTCCTTGTTTCCTTCTACGTCCTAGATAAACCCACTGATTCCCTCCGAGGCACGTGCAAAAAAGGCTCTAATCAAACGCAGATTCGGGCGCCGAGAATCGAACCCGGTCCTCTCCTTAAATATACTGCGTATCAATCCATGGAGGAGGCAGCGTGCACCATACACCACACCCGAATACCTACATCTCCCTCTGTGTCCTATATAAACCCACCGATTTATCCCGGTGCCAGTGCAAAAAAACTAGAGCATGAACTTATCCGGGCGCCGGGAATCGAACCCGATCCTCTCCCTTGCATTCATTCCTTGGTAAGAAGAGGGAGCGTGCGCCGTACACCACGCCCGAGTCCTCACCTCTCCTTCGCGGTTGAATCACCCCTCGATTTACGTCGATGAGACACGCAGGGAGACAGCAATAAACCCAATATAACCAGACAGACAACGGCCCCATATGTAAGCAGCAGAAATAGAAAAGAAGGAACGGAACGGAATGAGGTAAACCAAAAGAAACGAGCGAATGTATATGACGTAGGTAGGTCGAGTGCGAGTGCGGGAAAGAGAACAGAAGGAGAAAGGAAAGGAAAGGAAGTGATCCGGGTGGTGGTGTTTAGGCAAGCAAGCGTTGCTGAGTCAAGGCAGAGAGGATTAAGGAGAAGGAGGAGGGAGGAGAGAAGGTATATGTACAACGACGCGGTAGGGTACAGGGATGTAATTGTACGGGAAGGCGTATCGAGATGGGCGTAAGCGTAAGCGTAAGTGTAAGAGATATTGACAGATGTGACATGAGGGAGCGCAGAATAGATAACGAGCGGCGGTAGCACAGAGAGTGGAGGAAGGTACGTGGCTGGATGCTTTTGAGTTTTGGACGATGGGCGGGCGGGGGCGCAAGATGGTGGCTGGGGAGTGATGTGGATGTAGATGGGCGCAAGATCGGGTGGGCGTGGGCGTGAGCGGGGGCGGGGGCGGGGATGATACAGTCGGATCGGAGATGGTGACTGCGCGCGATGCATCAGATCTGAAGCGCACACGGAGGGGCGGCGACGTACACGGGGAGAGGCGGAGCGGCTACGAGGTGAAGCGGCGCTGGGCGGCGGGGCGGCGCCACGCGGCCTCCCACTCGACGAGCGCGCGGGCGAAGCCGGGATTGGGCTTAATGCAGGCGCGTTTGCGCTTGACGAAGGCGAGCGCGGCGTCGTACGACATTCCGTGATTGCGGATTAGATACGCGATCACGATCGAGGGCGAGCGGGAAACGCCCTGTGCTTCGTTAGCTTCTCCCCAAGAAGTGAAAGAGAGGAAGGGACGCACCTGCTGGCAATGCACCAGCACGCCCTCGCCGCGGCGCAGCGCGCGCTCGATGTACACGCACGCGGCCTCGAGGTGCGGGCGCAGGTCGACGCTCTCCTTATCCCGGATGTCGATGCTGTACGCGACGAAGCCGTCCTCCTTGCGGCACGGCGGCGCCCACGGCGCCTCCAGCGCCTGCACCAGATGTGTGATCCCGTGCGCGCGCAGCAGCGGGTGGTCGTTCACCGCGGAGAGCGAGCCGAGGTAGAGGGCGCCCGAGAGCGGCTGCTGGACGTGGGGGTGGTGGGAGGAGGAGTGAGAGGAGGAGGAGGGGTAGGGCGCGTAGGGGGAGGCGGAGGAGGGGTGGCCGTGCATGGGCGGGGCGGGCGGGAGCGGGGTCGGGGGGAGGATCTGGTGCATCGGGGTGCACATTGCCTGCATCACCTCGGGCGGGAGCGTGTCGAACCGTATCATCGTCGCGGCAGGGAGAGAGTGGGTACAAGGGAGCGCGGAGAGGGAGGGGCCCAAATCTGATTGCTGACTAATAGGTCTAGGCGCGGGGTCCACCGCTTATCACCGCTTGTCTGCCAAGTCCTCGACATGCGATAGACGCCACCGGGAAAATAGCACTCAGCGCTGCCAGTGAGCTCTCCTCATGCCGGGAGATTGCCACCCCGCCTCGTGCGCTCCTCGTGCCCTCATGCACGCTTTCTTGGTCAATCTTTGCCTCATCCGAGCGATCTGCGTGCACGGCCGATAAAGGCCCCGCACCGACTCGCGCGGGAGGACCTCTGGTGCCTGGGGCCTGAGCGCTCAAGTCTTGGCCCAGGATTCAATTTATGCACATGGGAAAGCCAAATCACGGCTCGGGCGGCACCTCACATTCAGGCTGATGCCGAATTTCTCATCGGATTATAATGCAGGTTCCAACCACACCGACCCGCTCCCTATCCTACGCTCTTCCTCGCTCGTCTCACCCCCAATCTCCCAATCGCCCCCGAAAAAAAGCATCGGCCTCGATTACGGCTCGGGCCTGATTCGAACAGGCGGAATCCGCATCAAACTCCAACACGATGAAATGAATGCAGATGCGTACCACACGCTACCGAGCCCTTCCTTTCTCTCTGGTACGTATATCTTGGTCCATACTTTCGATTCGTGGCACCGAAAAAAAAATTATAGAATTTGTCACGGCTCAGGCCTGATTCGAACAGGCGAACTCTGCATCGATTTGACGAGACCGACCGAATTGAAAGCAGAGGCGTACCAAACGCTACCGAGCCTTATCCTCCTCCTCTGGTACGCATATCTTACTCTACAATTCTATCTTCGTGGTACTGAGAAAAAGGAGCTTTGTTCCGGACCATGGCTCGGGCCTGATTCGAACAGGCGAACTCTGCATGCAAACACGGCGGGTACAACAAATGAGTGCAGAGGCGTACCGAACGCTACCGAGCCTTATCCTCCTCCTCTGGTACGCATATCTTACTCTACAATTCTATCTTCGTGGTACTGAGAAAAAAGAGAGCGGTGCTGTAGAATGGCTCGGGCCTGATTCGAACAGGCGAACTCTGCATGCAAACACGGGGGCTACAACAAATGAGTGCAGAGGCGTACCAAACGCTACCGAGCCTTTCCTTCTCCTCTGGTACTTACATCGTACTCTACAATTCTATCTTCGTGGGACCGAGAAAAAGCATATATTGACCGGTTTCACGGCTCGGGTCTGATTCGAACAGGCGGAATCCGCATCACAACTCAGCGGGATGAAATGAAAGCAGATGCGTCCCACACGCTACCGAGCCTTTCATGGCTACCTGGTAAGTCGATCTTACCCCACAATTCTATCTTCGTGATACGGAGAAAAAGGGACTCGATGTTATATCATGGCTCGAGCCTGGTTCGAACAGGCGAACTCTGCGTCAGGTTTCCCGACTATTATATCCAATGAGTACAGATGCGTACCACACGCTACCGAGCCTTTCCTTGTGCTCTGGTACGTACATCTTACTCTACAACTCTATCTTCGTGGGACTGAGAAAAAGAGATCAATGCGGTAGAATGGCTCGGGCCTGATTCGAACAGGCGGAATCCGCGTAAAGGGTCCCTCGACGAAATGAGTGCAAATGCGTTCCAAACGCTACCGAGCCTTTCTTTCTGCCCTTGTATGTATATCTTGCTCCACAATTCTATCTTCGTGGGACTAAGAAAAATGGGTTTCGATGCCGGACGATGGCTCGGGCCTGATTCGAACAGGCGAACTCTGCGCAGATCGTTTGAGAGAAGCAGCAACTAATGCAGATGCGTACCAAACGCTACCGAGCCTTCCCTCCTCCTCTAATGCCTCCTCTAACCAACCGAATTTTACCCCACAAGACTGAGCGTGAAAAAAGGAATGCACCGGAAATGGCTCAGCCCCGAATCGAACGGGATGGACTCTGCGTCAAGTGTACTCGACCTTACCCATTTGGATGCAGAGGCGTGCCACACGCTACCGAGCCTTTCCTTGGCCTCCTGCACGTCGGTGTTACTGCCCATTTCGGATTCATGGTACTGAGGAAAAGACATTTGATCCTGTGACAATGGCTCGGGCCTGATTCGAACAGGCGGAAGTCTGCGTCCAGCCCTTCTCCAGCTGGAAATGAGCGCAGATGAGTGTCACACGCTACCGAGCCTTTCCTTCTCGTCGGGTACGTCGATGTTAGTCCACAGTTCTATGTTTCTGGTACTGAGAAAAAGGAATTCAGCATTTACAATGGCTCGGCCTGATTCGAACAGGCGGAATCCGCGTCAAGTCTCGCACACCCTCAGTGGAATGAAAGCGGATGCGTACCAAACGCCACCGAGCCCTTCCTCCTCACTCTGGCACCTTCTCTAACGAACCGAATTTTACCCATAAGACTGAACGTGAAAAAAGGATTGGTATGTCTTCCTTACTACATACGTTCGATTCGTGGCACTGAGAAAAAGGTGGTGGACCCCGTAGAATGGCTCGGGCCTGATTCGAACAGGGGAAATCCGCGTCAAATTTGTTACCCGGACCGAAATGAAAGCAGATGAGTACCAAACGCTACCGAGCCTTGCCATGCTGTCTGGTACATCGATTTGACCCCACAATTCTATATTCGTGGCAATAAGAAAAAGTTTGTGGAATTATGTTATGGCTCGGGTCAGATTCGAACAGGCGCAATCCGCATCAATTTTATTACACGGACAGGACCGAAAGCGGATGCGTTCCAAACGCTACCGAGCCTTCCTCCTCACTCTGGTACGCCGATCTTCACCCACAACTCTATCCTCGTGGTACTGAGAAAAAGGTTTTGGACTTGTGCAATGACTCAGCCCCGAATCGAAGGGGCGAACTCTGCATGCAAGCACGAGGGTCACGACAAATGAGTGCAGATGCGTGCCACACGCTACCGAGCCTTTCCTCGCTCTTTGGTACGTCTTCTAACTCTCCAATCTCTATTTCACAAGACTGAGCATGAAAAAAGGAAACAGCAGGGATCCACATGGCTCGGCCCCGGATCGAACGGGGCGACTCTGCTGTACACGGCTTCTATCGGGTATATTGTATGCAGATGCGTTCCAAATGCTACCGAGCCTTCCTCCTTATCCTGGTACGTCGATGATACTCCATACTTTCGATTCGTGGCACTGAGAAAAAGGTTGTCGACCACGTGATGGCTCGGGCCTGATTCGAAGAGGCAGACTCAGCGTCAAGGCTCAACTTGACGAAATGAAAGCAGATGCGTACCACACGCTACCGAGCCCTTCCTTGTGCTCTGGTATGTCCTCTCACTTTCCAATTCCCAGCTCTCAAGAATGAGCGTGAAAAAAGGAGTGCGCCGGATTACCATGGCTCGGCCCCGAATCGAACGGGGGAGACTCTGCTCAATGGACGTCCCCAACGTTTATTGTACGCAGAGGCGTACCAGACGCTACTGGGCCTTTCCTCCTTCTCTGGTGCGTCCTTGACCACCCAATTTTATCGTGCAACAGGACGAGTATTCAAAAAGCGTCAACCACAGTACGGCTCAGCCCGAATCGAACGGGGTA